GTCGCTGCGGATTCATCTTTTAGCTGCTGGCGAATGTTTTCACGCATGTTGTTGCCAAGCTTTTCGAAACTGTTTATCATTTCGTTGCTAATCTGTGAGTGAGCGCTCTGTACAAGATGCTTAATTTTATGCTCCATCTTCTCTTCCTGATTAGCCACGTACTCCGACACCAGCCTTTGAACGCGCCGAATCGTCAATCTACCGGTGGTAACACCTCCACTCTCCTCCAACTTTGCAATACAGTTCTCCACAATACTCGAAGTCATCTGCTGAAACTTCATGTCGATCTGCTTCTGCATTGCATCCCACATTTCTTCCATTTGGCCTTTTACATCTCCGTTAATGGCGGCCTGTGGTTGCAAAAGCACACCATCTATCCGCTGCGCCAGTGCGCTATGAGCATTTGTGATTGCTACTGTCATTTCTCTCTCGATCTGCTCTACTTTCGCAGCTCGGGCTGCTATCGCACTCTTCATCTCCAATACTTCAAGATGCGCGACCCCCCGCGCAGATTGCAGCTGCTCCTGAATAAATAAACGCGAAGATTCATTACCTACTACCTGGGCATTGGAAATAACTTGCAGTTCTTGTTGTAGAGCCAAGTTAGTGTCTTCCAGGGCCTTTCGTATCTGGCCCTCAATCCACTGTTGGTGTGCTGCCAGCTCAGCCGTACTGCTTCGAGCATCGTGGTGGATGGCAGCCAAGGCGGCGTGCTACTCTTTCGCTTGTTGAACTTGATTGCTCTGCATCATTGTAGTCTCTGCAGCAAGTCTTTGGGTCTCGCTCCAGAAGGCTGTCGACGATTCTTGAGACTTGAGACTCTAGGCGAACATTCTGCGCAGGGCATGTGCAGGACGACAGCAAGGAGCTCTCATCGTGTACTCGGTAACAATCCCTTCCAGTATGCCCGCTTGGTCTTGTGCTGCGGCACGGACCTGAGATCTTGTTAGAACCATGGTCTTACTGAGACGCCCTGGTTTGCTGAAATCTTGATCTGGATCCTAGAAATTCAAATAAGTCACACGCATCTAAATTAACCGGGATCCCGACCATAACAACGGACTCCTTATATTTAACTTATTTAACACAGGATCCCGAGAGTTAAATTCCGGGCTCCGCCCAAGAACCCGGGAGCCCGGCTCTTGCTCGGGCTCGTAGGAGGCTGAGGTCGCGCGTATCGCGCATAGAACTTTTGGGGCCACAGTGTGTTCACATTCACGCGAGGGTTTCTCAAACAAATTAAAGGGTTCCTTTTTTTGTTCCTCCGCGTGGTGCAACCGTAACATCTGCATCCAAACGACATGAATTCCGCGTGGAGGTCTCGCATCAACTTCATCGGACAAGTCTCAACACTTCTCCGTGACGTGATAAAGCCTAAAATTACTCCCAACGCTGACCTTAATGAAAGCAAGTGTAAATGTTTACCCTCCACATGTTTTTTCTGCAATCGGACCCCTTTTTCTGCAAAACGGACCCCTGTCGCTTGTGATGTTCCCTCTACTGCCCAAAACAACAGCAACGATACCGTTTTGGGCGAGCTACACAGGCTGGGCGTTATTGGGCGTGGTAAGCAAAGTTTCCGTTAAAAGACACCACAGCTCATGTTCACCCACGCGCGTGTGAACTTCGTCACTTTTGGCAAATAGGTTTTTGATTGGATATTTTACATTTTAAAAAAGAGAACGAACCGGTACGCTCGTTTCTCATACATGATAATGAAAGAGATACAGATACGTGGGGGGTGTGCGAGAGTTGAAAGGCATCAAAGCCCACCAGGAAGCTGTATACCGCCTCCACCAAGTCCGTCGGTAGCTCTTCCAGCCACATGAAATGTCGATATCTGCTTGTCGCTTAGAAATTTCAAGAATGGCGATGCCGTTTATCTGGATTATAGCTCATTCACATTTATTTGCTGTGATTGGCTAGACATTTTCAATTTCTACAAAAAAATACTGCAAGGTAAAAAATAAAACTGTGAAAAGTGATGAAAAGTGGCGAGCTAGACGTATTTGGCGTGGTAAGCAAAGTTCCGGACGGTGCAAACACCCTCCACTCGAACAGAACATCTCTACCTTCATCAGCTTTCTCGATTCAGACGCGAGCCAATAATGGCAATCAGGCCATTAGCACACACGACTCGTGTCCCACGCACGTTGAACTTCGGCTTACCACGCACCAGCCCGGTTGAGAATGGACCCAGCCCGGTTGAGAATGGACATATGCTTCACTCTTGGAAAACACGCTTATTGATTGGCTACATTTTTAATGAAAGAGAGCACTTCCAGTCAACATACGTTCGCTTCTCATACTTAATAATGAAATGCTCGTACTTCCTGGGGCAATACTTCACGCAAACAGCGTTCGAGTTGGGCGACATGGCCTCCGCGGCGGAAATGACGCCTTCTTTTCGATGGCGACGATTTCGACTGGCCGGCCCTCCGCCGGTCGAGTACAGGCCACCAGGTCCACGTTGATGCGAGACTGCGGTCCTCGCAGCCCTGGATACTTCAGTGTCCCGCTTAACCTTTTGGGAGGCAGCTCTCCGCCTCGAGCTAGATGCTGCACCTCGTTTAGAGGAAGCACGCCACTGTAGAACCGGAACTCGTCCAGTAGTCCGTGGAAGCCATACCAGCCTACGAAGTCTCCGTGAGAGTAGTCTCCCCCACCTGATGTGATGTATCCCGTCCCGACCTGTTCGTGAAGTAGGTGCTGCCACTCCCGATGTAGAGTTCCCGTCGTGGACCACACGTTCTCCCCGTTCAGATACACGTCCTGCTTTTGACGTTCGAGTTTATAGGTCAGAACTAGATGATACCAGTGGCCACACTTGAGGTCTTTGGCCACGGGTGTCTTGACATCCAACACCGAGCAGTAGAGTTTCCTCTTCGAGTCCACCATGACGAATTGCTGATGATACTGCGGCCAGTTCCTGCTGTCTCGCTCTTCGGATTACAGTCCGAAGATCACCCCACCTGTGTACCTATTTGTGTCAAGCTCTTTCTGTGTTGACGGTAGTAGCGAAAACCACAAGTCGAGGCTGAAGTTTTCCTCGTGCATCGTCCGCAATGCATTATCATTCGACGGAGCTGTCCCCAATCCGTCGGCGGTGGGTATTCA